GTGAGGGTACATAATAGGAGTGCTAGGTCCATGGTGTGGAGGGTCAGAGAGGGCATCCTACAGGGGCAATGTGGTAGCACTAGGAGTTTTCCTGAATTTCAGCTACAGGGAAGATGATTTAGAAAGCATCCACATAACTGAGGGGGAAAGTGGATGGCATGAGAATCATTAATTAAATGTGGCTCATGAGTAGGTGGAGGAATAATCGACTCTGGAGATATGGACAGCTACCATGACCTGAAAGCATTTCTAAAGAATGTGGACAATTCTGACCTACACATATCTGACACTCATTCCTTCTCAATAGGCGATAGGTGTTCAGATAAGACAAGGAAAAATACAAATGATTTTTATTATCAGTAGATTGTATATCTATTCCAGATCATCCCATTCAGTGAACATATATCTTTTGAAATCTCTGATGATTTTATATAAATTAGGAAATAAGTATCTGGAGCCTAAATGTGTAATTGCAATCCAGGGTGAATGTGACTATTTTCATTAAGTGTTTAAGAGGGGATATGGTTATTGAAATTTTTTTTCCTGAACATTTTTTGGAGTTAAATCTTTGAAACACTTGAATAGTTGGAAAATAGACATGGATTTTTTTTTTAATGCTAGCTTAAGTGCAAAAAAATGTTAAGAAAAGAACTTTTCAGTGTGTGTACATTTTGAAGATAATTCAATAAAGATGGTTAATATTTCTACATTAATACACTTAAATCCATAGGTTCACAGCCATTTTGGTTAGGAATATTCTAATTAGGAAGAAAAACCTCTTTTTTCCATAATTTTATTGAGAAATAGCAATAAGACAGTTTCAAATCAATTTGGTAGGACAGTTCCAATAATTGACACATTGCATACTGTCTTCCTAGTGGTTATTTGTTTTACAAGATGCAGACATGATATCCTATTTACAAATATACAATTAGAACAAATCCCTTTATTCCTTGAATTAAGAGAATGTAGCTATATATCTATCCTAACCATTTTGCATACACAGATACAAAATGGTCATTCATCTGTATCCCCTTTTCTTGTTTAGTTCCATCATTTAAATATTATAGGTGTGTGAACTCAGCAAAATATTCCAAAATAGTCCAGTAGCCCATAATAGTACTGGGTCTTCCATTTGACTGGCAATGTCAGAAGTTGTTGACCTGAGTCCCCTACAGCTCAACATAACAACATGGCTTTATTTCTTGTACTTCGTTTTTATACTTTTCTGTTGGATGGTTAAGACCAAGATAAAGCACAACCTAAGTAACAAGAATCGTAGCTTTTGGATCTAGTAAGGTCAGTCAAATCCCCTCAGGATTTATCCTGAGACCCTGCACCTCAGATTGTAGATCCTTTGTCAGTGTCAGCCATGTGGATGAGTCACAACCATTGCTTGACCAATTTGCTCTCTGTGAAAGCCTGAGAGAATGTTTTCTCTCTGTGTGACTGTCCTTAGGCACACTCTACATCATCGATCACTTTCCTCTTTGGCCTCATAATCTCCTTGGTCAGAAATATTTGGGGCACAGTTTGGGACACAACTGAATTGATAAGATATAACCACTCTCAGTAGCCCAATAACAGCCAAAGAAATACAAGATGTAATAAAAAAAACCTATCAACAAAGAAAAGTCCAGGTCCAGATGGATTCACAGCTGAATTCTACAAGACATTTACAGAAGATGTAGTCCCTATACTCCTCAAACTCTTCCATGAAATTGAAAAGGAAGCAGTCCTCCCAAAATAATTCCTGAAGACAAGTATTATGCTGATACCAAAACCAGGGAAAGACACAACTAAAAAGGAGAACTACAGGCCAGTCTCCTCATAAACATAGAGGCAAAAATTATCAATAAAATTCTAGCAAATAGAATACAGCAAACCATCAATAAGATCATACACCCATTGACCAGATAGAATTCATTCCACAGATGCAAGGATGGTTCAGTATTTGAAAATCTATAAATGTAATACACTATATCAATAGAGCGAAAACTAAAAACCACATGCTCATCTCAATTGATGCAGAAAAGGCTTTTGACAAAGTCCAACACTCATTCATGTTCAAAGTCCTACAGAAGAAAAACCTCTTTAGTAGGCATTGAATAAAAATAAATGCTTCATATAAGTGATAAAAATCATATGTGAGATTGGTGCCAGTTGAAACATTAAGAACAGAATCTTGAAAATGTTTTATTAATTTTGAGTATTTTGGAACAAGTAAGCTGTAAGGAGAAGACATTTTTACGTGTGAAAAATTTCCAGTGGTAGATTGTTTCTGTTTATATTTTCAGTTTTCTTTAGCAGAAATATTAGAAAACTAAAATGTCTTGGGAGTGATTCATATGTGGTTTGTATTAGACTAAAATTCATCAAGGAATAAAGAAACCTTTAGTAATTTAGCATAGATATTATGGTAAACAATCTGGAGGTTCCTGAGAATAGTGAAAGTTGAATTACTGTCTTAACCAACAATCCCTATAAAGGTATGTATCTAAGATGGTGATGGTGAACTTTCTTGGAACAAGAGTGCCCACACTGACCCCGGACCTGCTTGCTTGTCCAGAGTGCCCACAGTTCCCTGTGTACGCTCTTACTTGATGCCGGGCTGTGTGGACCATACCTGGTCATGTGGCTCATGTGCTGAGAGAGGTGGCTCTATGCGCCTGCTGCAGCGTACACACCAACGCTGTGACTTGAGGGTGCTGACATCAGTGTGCTAAAGGAATGCCTTCCATTCTGTGTTCATTGTAGCATTTTTGCAGCAGCCAAGATGTGAAACAAACATAAGCATCCACCAGTGGATGAATGTATACATAAAAGTCATCCAGCTTTCAGAATGAAGAAATATTCTGTCTTACAATACTGTAGATGAACCTGCAGGATATTATACTCAGTGATATAAGGCAGAAGAGAGGAAAAAACACTCCATGATCTCTACATGTTTTGCATGTATGTGGAACTTTAAAAAGACCAATTTGAAGAAGTAGTAGGACAGTGCTTACCAGAGACTACAGTCACATGGGAGCATGAAGGATGGGGAGAGAGCTTTGTACACTGCTCCATGGGTACAAGTTTCAGGTAAATGGAGGAGTGTGCTTCAGGGTTATTGGACAGCATGTTGAGGAGTCAAAATAATGCCTTGTGTGCTTCAAAATTGGGGAGTACATTTATGTGTGCGCACTAAGAGGAAATGATAATCTTTGAAATTATAGATGTATTAGTTCACTTTAATTATTCCCTATTCATATAATAAAATATAATACTTTACAGATACTGAATTATTAGTTTTAAATTAAAATCAACTAAAATAATCAAAATTTAGTGACTATAATGAAGAGCCATAAATGTCTTAAAATGAAAACATATCAGATTTTATATTGTTTGCAACAAAATATTAAATATTTTTGAAAGCACTTGAAAGAAAATATTCTTGATTTTGTTGCATACTTCATTAAGGTAATGAAAGTATCTGATCAGTTCTCATGTCCTTAAGGGTGATAAAATGGGGGATTTGTAATTTTACGTATTTGTTAGTGTTCAGGAAGTTAAATTTGGTAACAAGAAACCAAATGAAAATGATTTTGATTTATATTGACAGGGAGTAGGCATTTTGGGTAAGACATTAAGTGGAATATAAAATATGCACAATAAAACAGGCACCAAATGATGGAACTTTGTGAAAACTAGAAAGCATAGTAGTGAAGTTGGCCACACGGTTCAGAATTCCTGCGGGGAAGGAAGGGGTGAGCTTTTTGTAAGCAGCAGTCTTCTGTCTTCACTCCAGTAAGGGCAGCTATGCCATGCATTTCATGAGCCAACCTGAAGTGGGCAAGGCTTAATTTCTGATTCCTGCATTACTACCAGTGAGCTAGGTGTCACTAGTCAAGTTATCTTTGCCCCTGCTATAAGATGTTCATAGTAATGCTTCATCCTTGTGGAGTTATAGGCAATGGAAGAGAGAATCTTTGGAGCAGTATTTGGTCTATCAAAGCTGATGAGTTGTAGTTGCTACCATCCTCTCTTCTATCTTCTATTTCGTCAACACCTTAGTGCCTGGTAATGATAAGATTCATAAATGATAAGGCTTCTGATTCTCTCAATATGAATTTTTGTATCTCTTAGGATTTCCACTTGACTTAACTTTCACTCAGGTCTTGTCTTCAGCTCATAGCTATTGGCTCTCTCCTAAGTGTAACATGTTTATAACCCTATTCTATATTCTTTTTTTTTTTTTTTTTTTCGAACTGGGGATTGAACTTAGGCCCTTGCACTTGCCAGGCAAGCACTTATTCTACTGGGCCTTCTCCCTGTCTCTGTCCCTCAAGGTTTTATTTTATTTTATTTTATTTATTTATTTATTTATTTATTTATTTATTTATTTAGTGGAACTGGGGATTGAACTCTATTCTACTGATCTGTCTTCCTGCTACCATTGGCATGATTATCTTTAAACTTCTGAAAACAGTTCCTAATTAGAAGAATATGATTTTTTTTGAATGGTTTGAGCCTGGCCACACCATTGTCTATTTTGTGATAGGTTAATCTTATGCTGATAATCATTGAGTATTTTGTTTTAAAACATGCCTACTTCTGTTGGTTTCCAGTGATTGTAGATGTTACATACCTAATACACCTCCATAGATAAACACAAAAGGTTAAGATCAAACAACTCATCAAAATTATAGAACTCATCAGTTGTGAGTGGGAAGGCTGGGTCTTAAATAATGATCTGTGTCTCCCCGTCTAACACTTTTGAATAAAAATTGTTTTGTTATCTGGAAATGTTTTTACCATGATAAGATTTTGTACAAATTTTTAATCCTTGCCTTAATTACAAATTCAAAACAATTCTTAAATATGAGATTTTCATTATTTATTGTTTTAGTGTAAATCACATTCTGTGCCATGTCTTGAGAGGTAATATTTTGTTTTTCCAGATATTACTTCTAATTAAATTCTATTGACATCTCCTTTTTGTTTTAACTTTTCTCAGGCTGCTAAGTTGGCTATTGCACCACAAGCCTCGGAGTCCCAATGGGGGACTCGGGATCAAGACGATCTACTCTGGTCTCTCGGTTGCCGATATTTAGAAGAAGTATTAGTAGAAGGCATGACTCCCTTCCTTCCTCACCCTCTTCCAGTAATACAGCTGGTGTCCACAGTTCGTCTCCTTCCAGCACCAACTCAAGCTCAGGTAGTACAGGGAAACGCAGGAGCATATTCCGAGCGCCTTCCATCAGCTTCCATCACAGGAAGGGAACGGAAGCTAAGCAGGAGCCTCCCAAGCAGAGCCTTAGTATTTCCAACGGTGCTCAGCCTGGTCACAGCAACATGCAGAAACTGACTTCGGAAGAACATAGTAAAACCAGGGGAAGACATTCTGTGGGTTTTAGTAGTTCAAGAAATAAGAAGATTACAAGATCATTGACAGAGGACTTCGAAAGGGAAAAGGAGCACTCAACTAATAAGAATGTCTTTATAAATTGTCTAAGCTCTGGCAAAAGTGAGGCGGATGATTCTGGGTTCACAGAAGAACAGACTCGGCATTCTGTTAAGCAGTCAACAAGGAAGCTACTCCCTAAATCTTTTTCATCTCATTATAAATTTTCTAAGCCAGTTCCTCCGAGCAAGTCTATTTCGTTGGTGCAACAGTCTGAATTGTCCCTGGAAATCACACAGTACGAAGAGGGAGAACCTGTATTTGTAAGAGCTTCTCCATCTTGTTCTGTGGATGCAACTGAACGGGCCGAAAGCTCCTTACAATCTCCGTTACATTCTGCTGATCTCACCACAGCCCAGACACCGTCAGAATTTTTAGCCTTGACTGAAGATTCTGTGTCTGAAGCAGATGCATTTCCTAAAAGTGGAAGTCTGGCATCCCACTGTGACAACTTTGGCCACACTGTTTCTACCTCTCAGCTCTCTCCCAATCCTGCTGCTCTTATAAAAACAACAATGGAACTTAGAGGAGTTGGTCCCTGTGCAATCCTGTCTCCTGCAAAACACAGGTTAGAAGGCCCATGTAGCGCTGAACTGCATTCCTTCTTGGAAACTTCTGCTGCTAATCAGAAGGAAGTGTTAATGCAAAGCACAGAGCTACCGGTTAAGAATGCGAGCCACTCAGAAACTCTCCTACCTGTAGACACTCAAAAGGAAGAAAGCAGGGTGTTACACAATGGTGACACCACGCTGAGGACAAGCTCGCCAAGGAAACTGGGCTCGTATGAGGCACACAAGGCAATAGCGGAGCGTGTGAAAGGCATGCATCCTGTTTCAGAGTCAAGGGTAATACCTTCTTCTGGTGATCATCACTTTTTTAACAAAGGATCGTATGGATATGAAGGAAATACTGCCAAAGGTATGCTAATTTTCTTTCTTCAATGCAAAGTGTATTAATTTTTATTATAATTTATTTGATTTTTTTTACTCCATTTCATGAATAGAAACCATGAATTCTTTAATTTTCACTCTCTGTGATCTACCCTGTTTATAATTCCTTTTAAATATTTCCCCTACTTGATTTGAAGTTTGCCTCAATTATATTGTGCTTGAGTATAATCAGGCAATAGGATTCATTTTTATTTATTTTTTTATGTATTTAATACAGGGTCTCACTACATAGACCAGACTTGTAATGATACTCCTGTTTTCAGTCTCTCAAGTGCTGGGATTGCAGGCCTGTGCCACCAGGCCCAGTAGCTGCCTCAGTGCGCCCCGGGGGTGTGGTCCACATAGCACACTGGGGATCAAACCCTGGGCCCTGTGTCTGCCTAAGTAGGCGCTTTAATCCGCTGAGCTATCTGGTTGGCCTGGATTTATTTGTATTTATTGAGTTAATCAGATACTGATATCAAAAGAAGATGGAAAAGAAAA